TTCTGAACCCCCTTTTTTCCCTTCAGGAGCAGACTCCTTGGTTGAATTCTCTAAGAAAATATTTTCCCCACATCACTTTTCCTCTATAAATAGATTCTTAGGCTTCATTCATTTCCTTTAGATAAGAAAGTTTCCGGCTCGGTGACCGAAATGGAATGAAATGCTAGAGGCAACTGCCTTTTGAGGTTTTGCCTGCTATTTCTCTCGTTTACACATCTCTGTGCATGGTTTATCCTAGGAGACAATACTGGGGATTCTATCTAATTCACATTCAAAGCTGAGGTTTCTCCAGGGCATTTTCTCTCATTCCATTTGGCACAGCAGTAACTGTGTTTGACAACATCTGCCTTACAGCACCACTCTGCAGCTCCATCTGACACTTTGTTCCCGTTCACAGGCTCTTCCTGCCTGTTTCTGAGGGAGATGTTTTCACAACAGTGAGAAGACAGTGAGGACAAACCAGAGCTATGCTTGCCCAATGAATATACATCATGAACCCACCAAATGGCTCCACTGACCTCTTATTCCAATTTATCAAAAACTTTTGACATAAGCCAATGATTTTTAAACCAGCCTGTTGTCCTCGGAAATTCTTGAGCATTCACATGTAATTTCTAGTGTTTATTTCCTAGAGTTTCATATGCCACTTCCATCTCAAAGTTTCCTCAACTATGAAAAGCAAATAGCCCTTCAACATTTTACTGACAATTTTTTTTATACTTTAAGTTCTGGGGTACATGTGCAGATCTTGCAGGATTGTTACATAGGTATACACAGGTCATGGTGGTTTGCTTCCTCCATCCCCCTTTACCTACATTAGGCATTTCTCCTAATGTTATCCCTCCCCAACATCCCCACCCCCTGTTATGGCTTCCCTAGCCCCCCAACAGACCCCAGTGTGTGATGTTTCCCTCCCTGTGTCCATGTGTTCTCATTCTTTAACACTCACTTATGAGTGAGAACATGCAGTGTTTGGTTTTCTGTTCCTGTGTCAGTTTGCTGATGATGGTTTCCAGATTCATCCATGTCCATGCAAAGGTCATGAACTCATCCTTTTTCATGGCTGTGCAGCATTCCATGGTGTATATGTGCCACATTTTCTTTATCAAGTCTATCATTGATGGGCATTTGGTTGGTTCCAAGTCTTTGCTATTGTAAACAGTGCCACAATGAATATATGTGTGCCTGAGTCTTTATAATAGACTGATTTATAATCCTTTGGATATATAACCAGTAATGGGATTGCTGGGTCAAATGGTATTCCTATTTCTAGATCCTTGAGGAATCACCACACTGTCTTACACAATGGTTGCACTAATTCACACTCCCACCAACAGTGTAAAAGTGTTCCTATTTCTCCACCTCCTATCCAGCATCTGTTGTCTCCAGATTTTTTAATGACTGCCATTCTAACTGGTGTGAGATGGTATCCCAATGTGGTTTTGAATTGCATTTCTCTAATGACCAGTGATGAGGGGCTTTTTTCATGTGTTTGTTGGCCAACAACAGCACATAAATGTCTAATTTTGAAAAGTGCCTGTTCATATCCTTTGCCCAGTTTTTGAAGGGGTTGTTTTTTTCTTGTAAATTTGTTTTAGTTCTTTGTAGATTCTGGATATTAGCCCTTTGTCAGATGGGTAGTTTGCAAAAACTTTTTCCCATTCTGTTGTTTCACTCTAAGCACATAAACCAGTAAATCTAGAAGAAATAGATAAATTCCTGGACACTTACACTCTCCCAAGACTAAACCAGGAAGAAGTTGAATCCTTGAATAGACTAATAACAGGGTCTGATGTTGAGGCAGCAGTAATAGCCTACCAACCAAAAAAGTCCAGGTCCAGATGGGTTCGCAGCTGAATTCTACCAGATGTACAAAGAGGAGCTGGTACCATTCCTTCTGAAACTATTCCAAACAACACAAAAAGAGGGAATACTCCCTAACTCATTTTATGAGACCAACATCACCCTGATACCAAAACCTGGCAGAGACACAACTAAAAGAGAAAATTTCAGGCCAATATCCATGATGAACATCAATGCAAAAATCCTCAGTAAAATACTGGCAAACAAATTGCAACAGTACATCAAAAAGATGTCCATCATGATCAAGTGGGCCTCATCCCAGGGATGCAAGGAGGGTTCGACATATGCAAATATATAAACGTAATCCATCACATAAACAGAACCAAAGACAAAAACCACATGATTATCTCAATAGATGCAGAGAAGGCCTTTGACAAAATTCAACAGCCCTTTATGCTAAAAACTCTCAATAAACTAGGTATCATTGGAACATATCTCAAAATAATAAAAGCTATCTATGACAAACCCACAGACAGTATCAAACTGAATGGGCAAAAACTGGAAGCATTCCCTTTGAAAACTGGCACTAGGCAAGGGTGCTCTCTCTCTCACCATTCTTATTCAACATAGTATTTGAAGTTCTAGCCAGAGCAATCAGGCAAGAAAATAAAGAGTACTCAACTAGGAAAAGAGGAACTCAAATTGTCTCTATTTGCAGATGACATGATTGCATATTTAGAAGACCCCAACGTCTCAGCCCAAAATCTCCTTAAGATGATAAGCAACTTCAACAAAGTCTCAGGATACAAAATCAATGTGCAAAAATCACAAGCAATCCTATACATCAATAACAGACAAACGGAGAGCCAAATCATGAATGAACTCCCAATCGCAACTGCTAGAAAGAGAATAAAATACCTAGAAATACAACTAACAAAGGACATGAAGGACCTCTTCAAGAAGAACTACAAACCACTGCTCAAGGAAATCAGAGAGGACACAAACAGATAGAAAAACATTCCCTTCTCATGGTTAGGAAGAACCAATATCATGCAAATGGCCATTCTGCCCAAAGTCATTTATAGATTCAGTGCTATCCCCATCAAGCTACCATTGTCCTTCTTCACAGAACTGGAAAAAAACCACCTTAAACTTCATATAGAACCAAAAAAGAGCCTGCATAGCCAAGACAATCCTAAGCAAAAAGAACAAAGCTGGAGGCATCATGCTACCTGATTTCAAACTATACTATAAGGCAACCGTAATCAAAACAGCATGGTACTGGTACCAAAACAGAGATATAGATGAGTGGAACAGAACAGAGGCCTCGGAAGTAATGCCACACACCTATAACCATCTGATCTTTGACAAACCTGACAAAATCAAGCAATGGGGAAAGGATTCCCTGTTTAATAAATGGTGTTTGAAAAAACTAGCTAACAAATGCAGAAAGCTGAAACTGGACCCATTCCTTACACCTTATACAAAAATTAACTCAAGATGGATTAAAGATTTAAACATAAGACCTAACACCATAAAAACCCGGGAAGAAAACATAGGCAATACCATTCAGGACATAGGCATAGGCAAGGAGTTCATGACTAAAACACCAAAAGAAATGGCAACAGAAGCCAAAATAGAAAAATGGGATCTAATTAAACTTAAGAGCTTCCACTGACAACATTTCAACCAACAAGAAATGGTAAAACCAAGTCCTAAAACATCTTGTGTGTGAGTGCTGATAAAACATGCCATTTTATTTTCATAAAAAATAGATATTTAACATGAAATTCTATTTCTTCAATTTTAGTAATCCTTAGCTCAGATAAATTTTATGGCTATAAGAAATTAAATTAAGGGAAAATTCAAAATCTTATCAGTCTAAAGATTCCTCTACTTTCTGGAATAACTTAAATCATTGTCTATACCAAAGAGAAAATTCAGAATATAAAATTCATTAGTAGCAATTGTCATTTAAATTATTACCAACTTTCATTAAACTGTCTTCGTTATTTTGCTATGACTTTAAACAATCTAACAGATTGTTTAAAATGCCATTCTACTTCTATTTGGCCGAAAACCTTGTACCATTGTGATCTTCATTACAAGAGATTCTAAAATTTCCTTGTGCCAGACAATACAAAAACAGCTGTTAATTTTAAGCTGCCTTTAGGGAAAAAAAATTCCTTGGCCTAAAAAAGGTATTTGACTTCAAAATTTATGATACTTCTCAACATACTTTACAACTGGGTTTTCAGATATAGACATATATATACTTCACATATTTGTTCACATGAAATTTGAAAAGGAATGTGCTATAAAAAAGTATCTTGTCTTTTTGTGGTTTTATGAGTAGAGGCTGTCTAAGAACACAAAATCCAAGTAGGGCATTAAAATGGAAAAATACTCTCTGGGGTATAGATAGTATTACACAGGTGCTGGCATTTATATTTTGAACTCCCATCTGCTGTGTTTCTTACTCATTAGAGATGAGCCTAAATCACTTTTGCCTCCTCGGCTTACCTACAAGTGTAGGGCAAAAGGAACACCCCCCAAACAAAAGCCTTTCTTTTTTCCCAGTACAAACTTCTAGATGAGCGGGTTCAGTCCCAGAAACATTAGCATTTGTTCAATTATACTCTGCTGAAGCAAGTGTAACATTTGAAAATCAAGGCAAATTAGAATCTGATGACTCCTTTAACAAATACGTTTGTGTTTTATTTAAAATTCTTTTCAATAGGAAGCTTTTCTAACATATTAAAATGTGGTTTAAATATTTAAATATTGAAATTATTTTGTGTGTGTGTGTATACATATGCACGCATACACACACACACACACACACACACACACACACACACACATATATATATATATATATATATATATATATATATATAATGTATCTCTAAGAACATGGCTGAAATACAAAATAAGGTCTACCTGCCAATTCTAAATGTTTCTCTTGCCAAACTTCTCCCCACAACCACATCCTATCAGTGATCCAGTTGCTTTCAAAGTCTCATGCAATTTCCACCAGGCAACAACCTATTTGGTTTGCAACTCCCATAATCAAGAGTCAAACAAGTAACCTGCACATAGAAGCTCTCTGGCCCCTCCGCTCTTCAAGTCAGGTTCCTGCCTTCTCCAGGTCACAGGCTCCTTAGAAATGCCATTATATAATGAAATAAACTTACTGTTTTTTTTAACACTTTGAGAGCATAAGGCTTTTGAGTCCCCTTCTGTTTGCATCTGTACACAATGGATGTAGCACCCCTGGGGGAAAAAAGACAAAAAGAAAATGTTATACTTTGGACAAGAATTAAAGGGGAAAGCTTGAAAATAAGTGTCTCTTGCAATAACCCGAGTAACTGACAAGTGCTTATAAGTTCTACTATAGGACCAGCCCTGGCTGTCAAGAGTACTTCTTTGTAAATCACAACTGAATATGGTTTGCTCAGAAAAGTCTAGGTTTTCTAGCTTGTTCTTTTCTTTCTGCCCTATCCCTATACAAATAACATACCTAGGGCTACTGCACTGAGAAGGCTCTGGAATAAATCACATCCTCAGGTGAACGTTGTTTTTGAAGGAAACCCACCCAATTTCAGAATCCCAGAGCTCTCCTAAAGGTACATGCCTGGAACAAAACAAACCACATGACTTTAGGGAGAGGGTTTAAGTTCAGCACTCTATATAGGTTGCACTTCCACAATTTGGTAAGGGAGCTGGGACACCGCCTCCTACTTCTTAATGTGTAGAAGAGATGGTAATCGGTAACGAAGACAATAAGAAGACACTCAATAACTATCTTTATATGTGTGCAGGATTATTAATAAGAAAGCATTAAAAAGCAGGACAACATGGTCCAAATGCTCCAAACACCACATGAGAAGTAAAAGAATAAAAGAAAGAGAGATAAAAGAGAAGTATAGAGCAAATAGGCTTGTGTTTCAACTTCAGAAAGAGAACTTCTAGAAACATCTTAAGAACAGTAAACTTGTTAGACTGAAGAATAGGCCAAAGGACCTCTTATAACATTCTCAGTCCTATGGTCCTGAAATTCCAAGTGAGCACAAACAAGTATAAAAATAAAACACATTCCCAGCTATCTAAAGACAACAATTTTTTTTTTTTTTAGGAACAGCCATCAGTGAAATTTTATTTTTAAAATGTTAATTTAAAAAAATCAATGAATCAAAATTTTTATTGCATTTTACGTTTTGGGGTACATGTGAAGAACATGCAAGATTGTTGCACAGGTACACACATGGCAGTGTGATTTGCTGCCTTCCTCCCCTTTACCTATACCTGGCATTTCTCCCCATGCTATCTCTCCCCACCTCCCCACTCCCTCGTCCCTCCCCCATTTCCCCCCAACAGACTCCAGTGTGTAGTGCTCCCCTCCCCGTGTCCATGTGTTCTCATTGTTCAACACCCGCCTATAAGTGAGAACATGTGGTGTTTGATTTTCTGCTCTTGTGTCAGTTTGCTGAGAATGATGGTTTCCAGGTTCATCCACGTCCCTACAAAGGACACGAACTCATCATTTTTGATGGCTGCATAATATTCCATGATGTATATGTGCCACATTTTCCCTGTCCAGTCTATCTCGATGGGCATTTGGGTTGGTTCTAGGTCTTTGCTATTGTAAACAGTGCTGCAGTGAACATTCGTGTGCTTGTGTCCTTATAGTAGAACTATTTATAATCCTTTGGATATATACCCAGTAATGGGATTGCTGGGTCAAATGGAATTTGTATTTCTGGGTCCTTAAGGAATCACCACACTGTCTTCCACAATGGTTGAACTAATTTACATGCCCACCAACAGTGTAAAAGTGTTCCTATTTCTCCACATCCTCTCCAGCATCTGTTGTCTCCAGATTTTTTAATGATCGCCATTCTAACTGGCGTGAGATGGTATCTCAATGTAGCTTTGATTTGCATTTCTCTAATGACCAGTGATGATGAGCATTTTCTCATATGTTTGTTGGCCTCATGTATGTCTTCTTTTGTAAAGTAAAGATAACAAATTTTTAACAAAGCCAAGAGAAGTCAAAGACTGGTGGTGTGTTTTAAATGCAAATAGTTAAAAATATTAACTTTTATTTTTAACACCTTGGTAAGGTATGACATATACATAAAGTAATAAAGGGTTCTAGAAATAGAATAAATGAAGGTAATATAAATTTCATTTCCTTATTTAAAATTGCTTTAAAAGATAACTAAGGCAAAAATATTAAAAATGCATTGTGTTTATAGCATGTGTAAAAATAAAATGTATGTAAGACAACAACAGCACAAATGATGGAAGGAAGAAATTGGGAAACACTGTTGTTAAATCCTTATGCTACATGTCTGGTAGTCTAATATTATTTAAATATAGATTCTGATTTGAGATGCATATTATGTAACCTAGGGCAATGACTAAAATAATTTTTTAACAGAAAAATCAACAACAATTCATAATGGAGCTAAAATGAAATACTCAAGAACAGAATGCAAAGGAGCAAAAACAAAATAATAGATTTAAAAAATAAAACAGCTAACAATGTGATGGTTTTTAATCTAATCATATAGCTACATTAAATGTAAACCTTGTAAACTGTGAATTAAAAGTTAAGAGCAGATTGGATAAAAAAATCAAGACCAAACTATATGCTGTATACAGAAACTCATTTTAAATATATAAGAATAAATAAGTTAAAAAATAAAAGATATATTAGGTTGGCGCAAACCTGGTAAAAGAGATACTACACGAAACCTAACCATACAAAAGCAGAAACAGCTAGTTAATATGAGACTAAGTAAATTTTAGCAAAAGGATAAAGGGGACATTAATTATGAAGCAGTCAACTATGAAAAATAACATAATAAATATAAATATGTGGCACCTAACAACAGGGTTTCAAAATACATGAAAGAAAATCTTATAGAATTAAAAGGAGAAATTTAAAAATCCACAAATACACTTGGAAACTTCAATACATTGTCTCAGCAGTCGACAGGAAAACTAGATGAACTCTCATCAAGAATTACAGAACAACAGACTAGCCCTACCAATTAAATTATACTAAGTGACATTTAGTAAAAACTCTACACGAAAACTTCAGATTACATAGTCGTTTCAAAATTATAAAAGAATAGACACGAATACAAACAAAATGTTTTTTGCCTGTGTTTTATGAAGGTAAATTAAGTTGCAAATGAAATAAAGAACAATTGTCATATTTGAGGTAAGGCATTGGATTGTGGTAGAGGTGAAGGAAAATGATGAGGTGATTAAAAACAGCTCCAACAATTACTAGCTCTATGATCACATGCAATTTACATGCCCTCTTTCTGCCTTCATGGTTCCCATATGTAACATGGAAAAAATAACAGTACCTATCTCATGAATTTTTGTAAAGAGTAAATGTGCTAATCTATTTAAAGCATTTAGAGGGATGCTCAGCACAGTAAGGCCCATATAAGCATTTACTCTCATCGTCATGTATTTCTGTATTTTTACAATTTTTACAAGAAAATATTCATATGTTCTTCATGTAATTCTTTGTGTATTCTTAGTGTAATTTTAATTTTTATTGTTTTTTTTTTAAAAAAGGGATCCAAAAATAGTCCTACACATATATGATGGATTCTTTTCTGATAAAGTTAAAAAGGGAATTTGGTGACAAAAAAATATACAGTTTTTCTAAAAACTAGTACTTGAATGACTGGACAGACATATGCAAATAGATAAAAACAAAATTTATCCATACTTCACAACTTATATTAAAACGCCCTCAAAATGGATCACAGATAGAAATGCAAAACAAAACTATACAATTTATTTCAAAAACATAGAAAAAAAGGTATTGTGATCTTTAGTTAGGCAATGATTTCTTAGATACAAAACCAAAAATAAAATAAATGAAACAATAAGTAAATAAACTTCACTTAAGAGTGTCCGCTCTTTGAAAGTGTAGGAGAAAATATTTATAAATCAGATATCTTAAAAGGACTTGTATCTAGCATATATGAAGAACTCTCAAAACTCAATAAGAAAAACACATTAAAATGAGCAAAATATCTGGACAGATACAACTGATAGTACAGAAATGTTAAGGGTCTTAAGAGACTAGAATGAACAAATTACATCAACAAATTGGATGACCTAGAAGAAATTAACAAATTCATAGATACATACAACCTATCAAGACTGAATCATGAAGAAAGAGAAAATCTGAACAATAATTAGTAAAAAGTTCGAAAATATAATAGTTTACCATCAAAAAAAGAAAGGAAAAGAAAAAAGGAGCTTGGACTTAAAGGCTTTACTGCTGAATTTTACTAAACATTAAAAAAACTAATATCAATCCTTCTTACTCTTTAAAAAACTGAAGAGGAGGGAATACTTTCAAACTAATTTTATGAGGCCACCATTACCTTGATATCAACGCCAGACAAGACCACTACAAGAAAAGAAAATATCCTCAATGAACATAGATAGAAAAATCCTCAACAAAATACTAGCAAACTGAATTCAACAGCACATTGAAAGCCTCATTCACCATGATCAAGTGATATTTATCCTGGGGATGAAAAAGTAAGCATATCCAAATCAGTAACTGTGCTATACCACATTAACAAAATGAAAGACAAATCATATGATCATCTCAACAGATGCAGAAAAAGCATCTGATAAAATTTAACATCATTCATAATAAAAACTCTCAACAAATTACATATAGAAAGAACATATCTCAACACAATAAAGACATATATGACAAGTGCACAGCTAATATACTCAATGGTAAAAAGTTGAAAGGTGTTCTTTTAAAATCAGGAAAAAAACGTGGATTTTCACTCTTACCACTTCTGTTCAATACGGTAATAGAAACCCTAGCCAGAACAACTAGGCAAGACAAAGGAATAAAAGAAATCTGAATCAAAAAAGAATAAATTAAATTGTCTGTATTTTCAGGTGATATAATTATATATACAAAAACCCTTAAAGATTTTACCAAAATACAGTTAGAAATAATAAATGAATTCAATAAAGTTGCAGGATATAACACCAACATTAAAAAATCAGTTGGGTTTCTATATAATGATAAAAAGCTATCCAAAAAAGAAATCAAGAAAATAATTCCATTTACAATAAATAAAATACTTAGAAATAAATTTAAACAAAGAAGTGAAAGATCTGTATACTGAAAACTATATACAGTCATACAAGAAATTGAAGAAGACACAAATAAACGAAAAGATACCCTGTGTTCATGGATTGAAAGA